TGATAAACAATTGATGAGTGGCTGCGCGATGGATTACCAAGTGTGTGTGTGTGTGTTTGTGTGTGTGTCCGTCATACAGTAGCTCTTCATGCGCCTGTAGCAACCATGAAGAGGCTAGTTGCTTTGTTAGGTGTTCAACATTTGTTTCAGTTCCTGTTTCATTCTTCGACATCTGTAAAGGTTTGGGCCGGAAGAGGTCAGAGGAGGAGGAACTGAGGAACTGCTGAACATGTCTGCGCAGCGCACAGGAGTAAGGCAAAGCTTGAGGCAGGTGCTGAACAAAAAAAGTAGCAAGCTCTTTTGCTCCACGCCCACCTTTGGCATGAATATGGGTAGCAGCAGGCTTGTCACCACAGGAATGGCTGTGTCTTTTTCGTTGGAAGTGCCGCGCCCATGTCTTTGTTCCTTATGCTTTGACCCACTTTGTGTCGTGCTCCCTGCTGCTTCCCGAGCTTTGAGTCAGTTTATGGTGATTCCGCATACACGCTATGGGGTTCTTGCGTTCAGTGTCGCGGGAGTATTTCGCGCTCCTGCACACGATCCGCGCGCCTGTGTCATCCAGAAAGCGCGATTCGGTGTAAAGATACAATTCCACTACACTGGCCACATATTGACCTCGAGCATGCTTGAATGCCACCAGTACAGGAGGAAGCACTTTGGCGGTGGTCCTGAATCAGTCCGGGGGGGAAGCATCGGGGCCATGTCTCTCTCTTCATCAGCTAGGACAAGGAGCGAAGCATGTAGGGCAGGTTCCTGCTTTCTACAATTACATGAGGCCAAGCATGCTGTCCACGCCTGCGAACCCAGTCAATACGTGTGGAGAAGTATTTGGCCATCGTCTCCTTGTGCTGGTTGCCTTGCCGGTGGTTTCCTCAGAGTGTCCTGCTGGTCTCTGGGTGGTTTTCTTGTGATTGGTCTCTCCCTGATGGTCTCGTGGTCCTTTGGTGGTCTTGTGATGGTCTCCTAGTGGTCTCAGGTGCGCGCGAGCGCGCGCGCGCTCGGGGGTTGCACGGGGCTCTGGTGACGTACTTGCTGTACTCGTACTTCGCTGTTTCGGGATCCCTGGTCAAACTGGATAAGTCGCCCCTGACTGCATCTTAGCGGTCTTAGCGCTAAACTGAGGCATGCGATGTCCTGTAAAACCTTCAAGCTTCTCTGAAATGTTGGGAGTCACGTGCGCGGAGACCCCTAGCCGAATTCGTACGATGTTTTTGTGACTGGAGGTCCGCATCGTTCTGGCGCATATGCAGTGATTGATGTTACCTTCGGAAGCGCTGCTGGTCGCCTCTGCATGCCTCTGCCAACTTCTTGACTTGAAGTTTCGTGTGGGATGTGTAATGCAAGCCACCGCAGTCCTCGTCACGGTTTTTCCAGAAGAGACTGCTCACCACGCGCAATTTTGAACAGTTGCTTCTGAACTGGCCGTGTTCAGCCACGCACCCATCAGAATCATGTTGCATGCGGGCCTACTGGTAGGATTGGGACTGCTGCGAACGCTGCATATCATTGCATGTTGCACTTGAGCTTATGCATGCAAAAGACCACATCCCAACGGATTCTCCTGGCTCACCTAGGCCGGCATAGCCCTGGAAGAGTTTGATCCGTTTGTGTTTCCATAGAGGCCCGTACAGGAAGTCACTTTCAACACAAAGGCTTCTCAGCACCAGCTGGCCTTGATGTGTCGCGAGCCCGCCCTCTGCGCTCAGCGCTTCTTCGGATACGAGTGTGATCAGTTCGCGCCATCCTTCAAGGTGGTTTGTAGCGATAGGGGCGCAAGCATCAGAAACGAATCAAGTTTCCAGTCTCTGTATCATTGGTGCTGCCTTTGGTCCTTTTGTTTCTTTTACTGGCTCGGTTTGTTGCCTGTCCTGCTGTTCGACCACATGTTCGAGGAATAGAACGGGCATGGGTTGCTGTTATTCATGCTGCGAAGTTGCTCTCATTCCTTGGCATCGGCTTGATGCTTCTTTGGCGGCTACCTCGAGCATCTCAGGCTTTCAAGCGGTGTTGCATATGTTAGCCAAAGTGTTCGTTGCACAAGTGCTGTAGAGCCGTGTCGACGTGAGCCCGAACGGCACCGATCGCTCCAAATGCTTCTGAAGCCCGAAGCTTGCCACTGCCGCAAGATACATAATACTGTCTGCTTGTGCTGTGGGACTGGTGCGGACAATGGCAAGTATTCAGGCCGAATGCGGCCTACGTCCTAGGATCGCTTAGACCATGTGTATTTGTCTGTTCCCAGTGGGAGACGCAGGGCTTTTGCACCCGTGACTGCGAGATGCTGCTGAATCAAGGTGAATATATCCATCCAACACAAGTGACCGCTCTCTCCGGTCCATAGCTTTTCCGAGTCGCAGACAAATTCTGGTGATGTCGCATCACTGATGCATGTACAAAAAACGACCCCACGAAGACTTGATGTGGGAGATTGTTTCATTTTCGGAGATGACACGGCGCTTGTCGCTCATGTACAAAGGAAGGTCCAAGCATAGTTGCTAATGATTTCCCGGTCAAGTTCGTGATTATGCGACCGCGCAAAATCACCTGCCATGAGCCATGAACCCTGCAATGATGCTGCAGGGTTGTGCTGTAAGAACTTGGGCTGATCACAATGGATCCAAAGCACCATCGCGTTGTCTGACCGGCAGGAGCTTCTAGCAGAACTTCCCGCAGGAGAGTTGCCATCTGAGCTTGTTCATGCACATTTAAGGGGTTGGCAAGAACTTGTGTAGTACTTCTACCATCATGTGTTTCCAGGTTTGACAACGCGGAAGTACGCAGGGGGGCTGCCATCTCAGCACGACCACATGCCTCACCCCATGCCCTGTGTCTTGCTATGGCGCAGTTGGCAAGCCCGGCTCAACTTTGTGATTTGGAAGTGCGAGGTCTTCATTCGCCGACACCGTGGCGGAAGCTCTTCTGACAAGAAGGTCCTGGCCATGCAGATTGTCAAAACAAGTAGCCTAATTTCCCGCAACAGGGCTCTTTACTAGCATCGCTTGGTAGACTATGCGCAAAGCACAGTCTGAGCATGCCCAAGCAAGTTACACAGCTACGACTGCCAGTTTTCAGGGGCGGCAGCCGCAGCAAGGAGGGAGCAATCAGTGCTGCCCCAAGTTGTCCTTCCATCTCTAGGCCCCAGTGCTGGATTTTGTAAATTGTTGAATTTCACAGGCCAAGTTCACTCATCTGATGCTCAGGCGTCACTCTCATTCGCCGCCAGCGGTTCAGCAAGTACCGCCTTCCTAGCAGGCGCCTGCTTCACTGGGACTGGGAATGCACCCAAGACAGCCGGAGCTCTGAAAAGTTTGCGCAGCATGTTGAGGCATTCGGCCTGTGATTCGGCTGTGATAAAGAGCTGAAGTGTATTGCAATGAAATTCGGCATCCAATTCAGCCGCTAGGCTGGCATCCGCTGTGCCACTAGTCCTCAGCGGAACAGCAATGTTTGTTGTTTACGTAAAATGTAAGAAGTGCAAGACTAGCGTCTTCGCACGTGTTACTACTACGTAGACTTACCTGCACTGGTCGCACAAGTGGGACAGGTTAGTGAACAATGTAGGTGCACAGTCAGATGCGGAGCGATTTGCAGCCACTTCTACAAGCTTTTCAGCTGAAGAGTTCTACTCATTCGTTGCAAATCGCTTCGCACGAAGACGATGTGCTTCGAGGTGGTTTAGCACGAGATGGCCGCAACCACAACACCGGATCCAAAACATGTCGGTGTCTGCAGCCCACAGCCTGCGAACACCTTGCCTGCAATTCACGAGCATGGTGTGTCATGGGCACACGTCGTCATGACGGTGCGCTTCTCGCGATCTTGAATCAAGTCTTGCTGCATTCGCTGGTGGCTTGGCGGGAGTAGTCACAGGTTCTCTGTCGCATGACACGCTGCAGCTTTGGAGCCGACACAGGGCTTCAACAGACCCTCAAGCCCTGAGCATGAGCAAAGCATTTCATGTCGTCTGCTGTGCAAGCGATGTGTTGTACAGCAGTAGCATCAGAAAAATCAGCACAAAGTCGTCAAAGTACGTGCAAAGCACATTGCCATGGGAAAGGAGCGACGCAAATCCAGGAGTCGGAGCAGACGCCGGTTTCGTTCTTGGATTGTTTCAACATCGCAGGCTGTGCTCTGATGGTGTGTGAGAAGTGCTAAGGAACGATGATGAGGCAGCCCACCTGGGTCTCGTCTTCCGCTTCGGAAAGCTGCGTTCACCCGAGGACGCGGATCTGTCTCCAGAGTCAAGGTTGCAGCTGCTTGAGGCATGGGCCGTGGATGATTCTAAACACTGCGCATCACTGCGCATGCTACTGCAGGTGGAAAATGCAACATTGAAGGCCTGATGGGCTGATGCAACGGAGCCAGGAACTTCCCCAAATCTCGCGAGGCAGAGAACCGCGAGCTGCGAAAGAAGCTTGTAGAGGCTTTGCGTCAAGGCCCGGGGCTCAAGCCTTGCCTTGCCTTGCGTCAGAGTCTCATGGACGCCAGAGTGATGTAGCAAGCAGGTGGAAATGGTGCTTCCGGCATGCTTTCCACATTAAGCCATGTCGTGTTGCCGGGCAAATCTTTAATCGGCCATGCATGCGATCACTTCTGATAGCGAGCAGACAGAGCCTCTTGCGGCCGGCGAGAGGCGCGCGCAGCAAGCCGGACAAGCAGAAGGATGACGGTAACAGGGCTGCCCGGGCGACAGAGGACTGGATGTTGCGATTGTGTTTCCAAGAGTTATATCGGTGTCGTTTTCAACACCAAGGGAACTGCATCCGAAAGGAGGGCATGTAGACCTCAGAGGTTTGTATCTTCGCGGGGCCTATGCTGATGACAGTTTGGACATGAGCTCTACGTCCAGTCAGTTCCAGTCAACCAGTTCCCTGCGCAGGAGGATAAGCGATCGGCGCGTGAGGCAGTTTGCAGACACTGAGTGCAGTAGACACAACAACTTGCCACCACCCTGCCGCCGAGCTGTTCCGCATAAGGCCTCCGGAACCAGTAGAACATAAAACCTCTCTTCATCCAGGAACCTGTCGCAGCATCAGACACCAACGCGGTTCTTCTCGTCAATGCCCAGATGGAGGCTTACAACGAGGTCGCCGCTCCATGCTGAGGTTATCTTGGTCGAAATGTGAGGTTCGCTTATTGAACTGAAGCTGCCTGCCAGCCTATCCCCAACAACATTCCACCGGAGAAGCGGCTGCCCATGGTGTGCACGCCCTAGGTTGACGTGTTGACTGCATGCATGCATGAAGTAGCTTGTGCATTCCACTGTAGCCGGTTATCACTTGCATCCTGCAGGCACTTGCAGGATCTTGCAGGCATGTGCTATTGTTGTTTTCTCCGAGCCTTCTGATGCAACAATCTAGCATCTCTCCGCCGGATCATAAGACATCATCAGACTCTAAGGCGTTGTGCTGTTTCTAACCTCATTCCATGAAAGTTTGCCTTCTATTCACTCGGGTAGGCGTGCTGCCCAAGTGTGGGATAGTCACACACACACACAAACTCCTTATAGGGTGCTCGGCGCAAACACTTTGTTTTTGCTTTGTTCAAATTCAAGGGCTGGAGGAAGTCTGGTCAGGACTGTTGCAGAACGCAGATGGGTACAAGCTGACACAGACAACATCCGAAATTTGGAATAGGCAGGCTGAGTAGATGTTCCGAAGAAATTCTACCGAAGCAGCTCTCAGAGCACTCCCAAAAGATCTTGTGAAGTCAGAGCTCGGCAATACCGGAAACGTCACCCGCATGTCAACGATTGTGTTGTATTGCTGTGCCACAGTCCTTGCAGTTTGCCAGTTGTGCAGAAAGCTACGATTGAACACATCACTTAGTAAGTCTTTGCATTTGGCTCTGTTGTCAGGCCCTGTCTTGTTTCGCAACAAGTTACATGGATCGTACAGGGCTCCTGCTGTGTATCTGCCAGAAGTCACATGAAAGCACTGACAAATATATGCTGGCCACGGAGTCGAGGGAGAAGAAGCTGATGCGGTTCATGGTCCAGTTTGATGACAAGGCAATTCTTCTCAGAAGCTTGTGCTGCTTACTCGCTGAAGGTCTCTGTTTCCCTTGTTTGTGTTGAAGAGCCCACGGCAGGTGCAGATCCTTGACCTCAAATCCGGACAGACCATCATCAAGGACAGCTGCATGCAAGCAAGGGCTTAGCTTCGGTTCAGTGGCTAGTCTCGACATTATACGCAGTCTCGCTGGTCCCTGACGTCTCACTTGCTGCACCCCTGTAGGATCGCAACCTCTTCATCAAGAGGTATACTTGTGTCTTCAGGGAGCTGGTGGCTTGGTTCCTTTTCACCAGAGGGCTGTCTCGCAAGGGGTGACAAGTGCCGTGGTTGCAAGATGTTAAACGTGAGGTCCGGTTCGAAGCTTCAGGGGCGTCGACCTGAGGTGTGCATGTGTCGCTCTCCATGAGCCCGCTGTAAGCAGTAGCAACACATGCATGGTCAACGCCAAGCTCATCCCGATCCGGGATGAGTGGTTCATGCACTCATGGATGCTTCGCAGGTCAGAGCGAGTTGACAAAGTGGAGTACCCTCCTGTGACAAACAATTCTTCAAGAATTTGCTCCGATCCCGAGAGTTTAGAAGACATGGGACTTCGGGGCCTAGACAAAGCATTTCGTGACTGCGAGACCTACATCTCTGTTTTGGACGAGTGGAGGAACGGATGAGCTGAACACCTACCCACACTTGTAGGGCGGCGGACTGAACAGTCGCAGGCCTTGGGGATCCGGATGGCCAGGAAGCTTGTTCCCCTACCAGTCGCAAGCAATCCAAGGGAGACGCACACCACAGACACAAGCACACACACACACACCAATGTTTCAGACCAGTCATCCTTACCTAGATGGATGCTGTTTGTAATCCCTTCATCCTCTATTGGAGTTACCTTGTCCGCCTTGCAGGTACGCACTTGGACGTATCCAAGTGCATCAGCTATCATCCTAAGCCCTCTTCGTGGGCCCCTGCGACCTACGCCTACATCCTTCGGAACAGGAGTTGCACACACACACACAGACAGAGGGGGGGGAAGCCAAAGCATCCACAAAAGGACATTGACGCGAGGGACCTGCCTTTAATTTATGAGTCTGGTTTGAACATTGATTGACCGCCGGATACCGCCGGTCATTTCTTTCTCGTGTGCTATTTCTCCAAGTTGTATGTCCGAGGAAACGTGACTTCTGGCATACCGACTTCAGTGACTTTGTCCTCTGGTTCAGACGCCCCCTCGGATCTTGGCCAACTTGGTCATCTTGCTCGGCCACTGGT